ACTGATTGACTTTTAGTTTCCTTTTTGCCTCACCCTATTCCATTCTACACTAGAGAATCTAATGGAAATAAAATGATCAGATTCAAAAAAAAAAAAAAAAGAGAAAAATAAAAACACCCAATGAAATAAAAATGGCACAAAGTCTATAACTCAGATAGTTTTAAGTCTCAAGCTGTTAATTGTCAAAACATTTAGAACTAAATGTATTTAAATAGGGCGTGATTTTGGATATCCCAGTACATTTCATTCATATATAATTTCAATATCTACTGTGGGCAAAGAAGAAAATACACAGATAGTATTTAACTTAAAATTGTTTCAATAGAAACAAATATTTTATAGATCTTTGTGCTTGTCCATGATCCTTTACTTGAAATTCTTAGGCCAAATATGTTTCAGAAGTTAGATTCTATAGTGTATATACAAACTCATTAATATATTAGTAGCAAAACATGAATACTCACTGTAAGTAGGATAAAAAAGACCATAAATATCTTCCTGCCAATTAAGGTCAAGTTTTACTGCCAAATTAGTGTGCTACTAATTTATGACACCTGTTTTGGTTTTCAATCACTGGGTTTTGGAATTGTAGTACATTTGTGGACCCTTTACTAATTTCAGGTGATAAGATCATAAAGAATTAGAATTGATTTTTAAAATGCATGGATACAGAGGATATCTGTTTTATCTTTAATTACTCTCATTGGTAATATTTGAGAATGTTAGCTACTATAGATACTTCAGAACATCTTTTATTTCCTCTCTTATTAACTGGGACTGTGAGTCACATCTGGGACTTTAAAACAAGATGCACAAGGATGCTCTGAACATAGATATTCTGATTCCAAATCAGCATGGGCAAATCCTAGTCATTTAGATTTTTAAAAGTTCTTGAGGTGACACTGATAACCACTTAGGTTGAGAAAACACTACTTCATTGTACAAGTTATTTAAACAGGAATGCTACTCTTGTGAATATTCTATAGTCTCCCATGAATTCACACATGAGATAACACAATGATAAACACTTTTCTTTCAAAGACAAGACAAACATATAATACACACAAAGACACAAAGATGATACTTCTATACCTCTTCAAAGTCATCTTTGGCTGAAGGGAGATCACTGGCTAAACTAGCATCCCCCAGATGTTTCTCCATCCTCTCTCCATGTACCATAGTTGTTTTAACAACTTTGCTCACTCTACGGCCTTCCACTGGTTCAGCCTGAAATTGTGAGGAACTGGACAAAATGCTGGGCTCAGACAAAGTTACCTAATGAATGAAGGACACACAATATACCATTTCTGATTTCCAACATGTAACAATAATCTAAAACACATATCAACTACAACATTATATACTGGCCTTGCAGAAAACAGTATGTTGGGAAAGATGGGCAGGGTTAGGGGGAAAAAATAAACTATAATTACTTGATAATGTCTATATATATATGATGACTGCATCTACACAACAACAAATCAACCACTTAATTAGTCAATTGAGTGAAATTTATCAATGATTTTCATGCATAAGAAGCAGATTGCATAATACAGATATGACAACATGCAGATCAATTGTCTTTTCCCTCTGTTAAATGGGTTGTTTTGGCATTATGAAGATACAATTAGCCTTCAAAGGAGGAACACTCAAAGCTATGAGAAACTGAAGAAGCAGATGTGTGGAGAATCCCACATTTATAATAATAAGAATTTGAGGATGGGAACACATTGTAAACTGTGAGAAAGTCACAAATTATGCCAAAATGAATAGACATATCCCTGAAAGAGGAAAGTGAAACAGAAAGAAATAAAATGATAAATCAAAGGGTTTCTGGATCCTGTTTTAGCATCTCTAGATGCAGAAGTTTGGAATATCAAATACTGATCCAACATGATCTTTAGAATGCTAGTGTGCTAAAAAGGCATAAGTACCAGGGTTACATCTGTACGTGGTTTCATAATATATGTAAGTGCTTGCCCAGCAAATGGAATTTTTTTTTTCTTTTAAAATTTTACTTTTGGAGTTTTGCTGTGGTCAACAACAAAATAAATTAAAAATGGAAAGACAAGGACAATGAGCAACATGGCTATAAATCTCCCTGACAGTTTTTAAAAAATTACATGGAATCATGATATAAAAGAAAATGAACGTGGAACTAAAAGCAGAATAAGCAGAAGTAAGACAAATATGAATAATAAACAATCTGATGTCTTTATTGAGTTCCATTTCATCCGTCTCCATTAATGAGTTCTGGAGAATGTGAGATGGTCTCACCTCAGACTGCTCAGTGTCACTCTTTAGCACGATGCGCTTTATAACTTTGGAATAGCCATCCCCTTCCTCGATGCTGACAGGCTCCTGTGGCAGCCCCTGCATCGTAATCTCTTCTTTTTCAGTGCCGTCAGAGGTAACATACCGCCTGATGATTTTTCTTGTAACCTGAAATATATTTTATTCATATATCTTGGTTTTCAATACCACGGTACTGATAAATTTTAAATAGGAGGTTTGAAATTAAGCAAATTAGCATATAATTGACATTACCTTCCTCACCACAGTGTGTCCATGTTCATCAATGTATTCTTCTTCTGTGACTGTTTCAGGTGGTATATCAGGCATATCATCTCCCTAAACAGTTGGGAGAAATGGGTCACTCATTGTTTGCCACCAGTTCTGAGGAACTAACTCCCAAATGTTTATACATGAGGAATGTTAGAAAATTAAAGGCACCGTTGAAAAGCATTGCTGAGATGCAAAAATCCTGTTAAGTAGTTTGGTTTAAAAAAAAAAAAAAG